TCACACACGCGCACACACACAAAACAAATCCCTGAGCCCTATACGAACCCTCTATGCGCACTTCGGTCCCTGAAAAACATTTGCATTTTAAGCAACTCCAAGCGGCTGTCGGTGGCCTTCAGAAAGCTTGGATTTCAAGGCTTTGGGGCAGGAAATTCGCGGCGTAGGGTTCAGATCTCAGGATGTATGGTTTCTGGGCTTGGGCTCCAAGATTTGAGGTGGAGATCTGGAGTGTAGGGCCTAAGTTTCTACTGGAATGCAGCAGACGGTGCAAGGGGAAGCGACGCGCTCAGCCATGGACGTGTAAACAGGGCCTCAATAGTGGGTGCACAAAAGTACCCTGCTGCAGCTTATTTTTTTTTTACAGTCGCCAAGCTGGGGATCGTGGATGCTTGCGTCAGACTATTCAAGAGATATAGCGTCTGCCGACGTTGGACCGCCTTCTCACATGCACTGATGGCAGCGTTGAATGAAATGACATCCGCTTCGAGCTCTTCTTGCTCCAGCTGCGAGAGCAAAACTACTGCTTGCTGCCACTTTCCTCGGCAATGGAAGCGCAGGAACAATCCCTCACAGGGTAATACTAAGAACTATGTACAGTCATATTAACTATACGTAGTATCCAACTCTTACTCGAAGCAAGATGCCCAAATGGCCCCGCGTGGGTGGGAAACCGAGAAAATAAACACAGGGTACAACCTCAAAATTACCGTATGGGTTTCAGGCCCAGGGTTCAGGATTTATGGCTAAGGGTTTATCGGTAAGCACCGTTTTTCACTTACCTGCAGTTTAGTGCGAATTGCCACCTAAGTAGTAGGTATAACCCAAGGCATTGTAGGAATTTGGGTTTCAGGTAACCCTAACATGCTAGACGACATAATACGTAATTTCAATTGTCTTTGTCATCCCTTAATATAATGTAGTTATAGCCCATCCAGAGGAACTGTAGGTATTTGCGCTTGCAGGTAGGGTTTAGGGCTGAGGGCTTAGGGTTCAGAGCATACCCCTAAACCCAAAACCCCTCAACCCTAAACCTCAACCCCTAAACCCCTCAACCCTAAACTCAGCAAAGCTTCCTGCTTTCTCACAGGCACTGATTGCTGCGCTGTATGCAAGGACATTTGCCTCCATCCTCCCCGCTGAGAGAGCAAATAACCTGGCTCCACATAGGCTTCAACATAGTTGAAGGGAACCCTAAACCCTAAACCCTAAAGGGTTTAGGGTTAGGGGCTTTTGCCCACGACCCTGTTTGGGGCATCAGAAGAACAGCTCATAATCGTTTCCGAGCTGTAAGATGCCAGTCTATTATCTTCCCCAGAGGGTCCATGTACCCAATACTTAGGTCCGTTTAAAAGGGATATATAGGGATATGTAGGGTTTAGGGTTTAGGACTTAGGGTTTAGGGTGTAGGGTTTTAGGGTCCATGTACCCAATAATTAGGTACTTGGGGTTTGGGTAATAGTAATTATACTACAGGTTTTGGGTAAGTATATGTTTATTGGGTACTTGGACCCTTCGGGCTTCTTGGGGTGTTACAAGCAGAGCACTGAAAAGAAGACTGCGTAACGTTAAGAATGAAACAACTAGATCGTTTTCTTGCATGGACTTTATAATCGCAATTCATATTCTATCATAGGCTCTAAACCCGAAACCCTAAACCCTAAGTAAGAAGGATCTTCACTTTGACTCAGTAACATGCTCAGGGCCAACCTCCACTTCGATGCCTTCTCGTAGGCGCTGATGACAGCGCTATGCCTAGGTTCCCCAGTAGCCCCATAATAATAAGGGCACCCTAGGGTTTAGGGTTTAGGTTTTAGGGTATGCCTAGGTTCCCCAGTAACCCCATAATACTGGGGTTATACTGGGATAATGGAAAAGACAATGGAAACTCCTATAGTTCCATAGGGTATATATATATACATACAAAGGAATAGGTTCCCCAGTAACCCCATAGTAATAAGGGTACCCTTTTTCCTAATATTCAGCTTTAATAAGGAGACCCCCACAAAAAAAGGGCAAAAGGGTACTACTTGGGTACCTAGATGCATGATGGTGTCCGTCTCTGTTTCCAGCTCTGCAACTTGATGCAGCAGGTGAGCTGCAAACTTCCACTGAGCCGCCTTTTCAAAAGCGCTGACCACAGTGCTGTAACTTTGCAATTCCATCCTGGGCTGTGTGGCCTGTAAACCGACTAGGAGATGAGTTGCACTCCGCCAGCACACCGCCTGTTCACAAGCACTGATTGCTATGTTTGATGTCACGAAGGAGGATTGTAGCCGCTCTTTGCTCAGGCTGTGCAACAGGTACAACGCCTGCTGCCAGGCGGACTTGCTTTCACAGGCGGTCATTGCTGCAGAGTACGTGAAAGCATCTGGCGGCAAATGCTTTGACCTCAAGTCGAAAACAAACCACAGAACATGCTCCCAATTGCTGCTCATTGCCATGGCTCTGGTGGCGGCATTCACAAGGGCTCCATCAGGCTTCACGGACGCGGCTGTGACATTTTCCAGCAAGCTCAAGGCAACCTGCCACATTGCTGCGTTCGTGCAAGCGCTTGTCAATGCAGAGTATGTCACTAGGTCAGCATGCAAACCCAGTCTCGCCATCTTGCTACCCAGTTCAAACGCGCATTGCCACTTTGAGTGTTTTTGACAACAGCCAATGGCAGCATTGAACGCAGCAATGTCCACCTCTAGGGACAGTTGTGCCAAAGAGGCAAACGTGAACATAGCCCCAGGCCATGACCCAGCCTGGGAAGTTGCGTGAATACCTGGGTAGTCATATTAGTCTTATTAACATTAATACTATTAATACCAATATTATTACTACTATTAATAGTACTATATATTGCTGTTGCTATATAGCTTGCTGGTTGTAAGTAGCGCATGAAGAAATGGCAAAAGCAAATGAAACTGCTTGAAGATTTGGGGTTAAGTTTGGGGTTTAGGGGAGGGAAGAGAAAATGTAAACTACTCGATCACTAGGGGAAATATGGGGGCTACGGCCGGGATCCGTTTCTGCGTTCCCTACTTACCGCCTTAGACCCCAGCAACTAAAAGCAGCTTCCATTGTCTTTTCCACTCCTACATTCCCAACGAACACCGAGTAAGTAACTTTAAGTACTTTGCACATCCCTACCCTACGCTCTCCTATGAACCCCTATATATCCAATAGTCAACCTGTGTATGACCCCTGTGCAACCCTATGTACCTCCTGTATCAGCCCCACTAACAAAGGGTAAGATACTCCCAGTATGTGAGATGAGGTCCACCCGCAGATGCAGATCGCGGAACCACCTGGAGGCCCCACTGACTTGAGGAGTACTTTAAGGGGATACAAGATATATGGCGTTTACATAAGGTTCTCCGGGTTCCACAAAGTATATGAGCTATAGTCTAAGCTCCTAGCATCCCCCTTAATAGCCCCTATAATAGTCCCCTTTTTTCTAATGTCCTATATAAACTCCTTAGAGAAGTTTAGACTATAGCTCATATAGGGTTATACAGTGATGTTTGGGGTTTAGGGTTTCCAAAACATTGCCCTAAGCCCTAAACCTTAAGGTCCCCGTATTCTGGCCTCCCCTAAACCCTAAAACCCAAAACCCAAAACCCTAAACCCTAAAACCCTAAACCCTAAACCCCCCCTTATGGCAACCCCACCTCAGGATGCAGGCCGCTGCTTTCCATTCGCTTGCTCTATGGCAAGCACTGAGCAATAATGAGCCTATCCTGGGTTGCTGTTAAGGAACTTAAGCTAAGTTACCATGATGGGTGTATATATATATATATAGTAAATAATAGGGCTTCCCCAATAGAATAACATAAGTTACGCTCCTGAACAGCAACCCAGTTTCATGTCATCAGGTCGTAACCTCGAAGGGACCATGTCTGCCAATGTCGTCAAAGCACCTTGCCAACACGCCGCCCGCTCACAAGCGCTGATTGCTAGACTTGATGTAACCACAGATGTTTGTAGCTGCTCAGTGCTCAGGCTGTGGAGCAAATCCTTTGCTGACTGTAGTCACTGTAGTCCCTATGGGTTTAGGGTTTAGGGTTTAGGGTTGGGTACTGCCCTTCCCAGTAACAGTCTATATTAGGGGTCCTATAGGCCCATATACAGGGTAATTTAGAATAACTCCAATTCCCAATTTAAGGCCATTTTGGAACCGTTCCCGAAATAAACCACCATTTAGGGTGAGGTCGGGTGAGGTCGCTTTAAACTGCCCAGCCTATATGACCGCAGTTTGCATTTAGTTTGTCATTTGATTTACCAGTTTTCCCTACGATTCTCCATTACCCAGACCCTCCTAGGTAGCTCCAATTTCTGTGGTTTACTATAACCAAAAGGAACTACATGAGAGCCCTTGGGTATCATTATTGCCAGGAATCTGGGCTGACTGTAGTCCCTACAAGCCACTATATATCACCTGCTATATGCACCGGTTTCCATTGGATTTGCCACATGAGTCATAGTCTAAACCCCTCGTATCCCCCTTCATAATCTTATGGTAGTACCCTATATGATCCCCTATAAATACGTTTAGACCATAGTACGTAATACGATGTACCCTATGTGATCCACTATAAATATGGACCCTTTTAAGGAGTTTAGACTACAGTACATGTGAGCTATAGTCTAAACTCCTAGTATCCCCCTTAATAGCCCCCATAGTAGTCCCCTATATTATATAGGCTATATAACCCCCTTTAAGGAGTTTAGACTACAGTACATATGATTCTCCATTCTTGCCACGGATCTAGGGCCTGTTGCCATGCTGACTGCCTTTCGCAGGCGGACATTGCTGCAGAGTACGTGAAGGCATCCGGCCGTTGATTTGCCTGGGTTGCTGTTAGGGAACTTAAGTTCTAGTTAGCGTAATGGGTATATATAATCTATATAATATAGATTATATATATATATATGGTATATAAAAAATGGGTGTAATAGAGTTTCCCCAGTAGTGTAACTTAAATTCAGTTCCTTAACAGCAATCCAGCTGCTGTCTTGAAATTGGAGAGGAAACGCAGAACGCCTTCCCAGTCTGTGCTCATAGCAAAGGCCCTCATGGCAGCATTGACAAGCAGCTTATCAGGCTGCAGCGACGCTTCAGCTACATTCTCCAACAGACCGATTGCAAATTGCCACTTCGCTGCGTTCGAGCATGCGCTCATCACGGTAGAATATGCAACCAAGTCAGGTTGCAACAGCAAATTGCTCATCTTGCTGATACATGTAAGCGCGCATAGCCACTGTGCATTCATCTGATAACAGCTTATGGCCGAATTCATTGCAATCCTGGGTTGCTGTTAAGGAACTTAAATTAAGTTACCATAATGGGTATATATAGGAAATAATAGGGTTTCCCCAATATAGTAACTTAATTTAAGTTCCTTAACAGCAACCCAGTTTGTTCCAGAGGTAGGCTTTCCCCAACAACCAGAATTAGGCGGTCTGAATGAAATTCAGG